GAATGCAGAACACTGGGGACTGTGATAAGTGAGTTAATGCAAGTTGTTTAAGAGAGCTTCTACTATACAGTCTACCCCCTCGTTTTCAGACCGTTCAATAACCCGCTTCCCCCCTACCTAGCAAATTTTATTCCCCGCAAGAACCCTCCCTTCAATTACATATGTTCTATCCCTCTCCTTTTGCTTTTACTGAGTTTGTCCTAATCATCTAAAAAATGCCGCTTTTCCTCTCTGCCTATAGAAATTTTACCGTCCTTCAAGCCCAGCACAAAGACTTCTCATGACCAATTCAGGCATCATTATCTCCCTTTCCTACAAGCTTATACAGTACTTAACAGGCTACATCACACAATTTATCCCTTTATTATATGGTAATCCTTCATTATCCCCTTTTTCCTGCATTAATCTTTCCCTTTCTGCCGGATTTTTCCTATTACCACACAAATATGTTCTAGTCTCTTCTAACTTTTTTTTAAGTACTAAAAGGTACATACTCCCCAAATACCACACTATTTCTCCTCTCCCCTTCTCAGCCATGCTTCTTGAAACAATTTCCTATTCATGCCACACCTCTTCCTCACCTCCCTTGTACTTTAACCCTCTTTAATTCACTAGAGTATGGGCTTCCTTGACACTCTCCTTGTCAGAAGCAGTAACAACCTCCATACTGTCCAATCCAATGATTTTTTTTGTCCTCTTTACTTGACCTTTCAGTGCCATTTAATGGTTGAGGGCTTCCTCTTTCTAGAAACTTCCTCTTGCCTTCTGAGACATTACTTTCCTGATTTTTCTCTCCCCATTGGCTGATAATCTCAGTTTTCTTCCCCTAGTCCTCCTCCTCTAATAGACAGCTTAATGTCAAGTTTTTTCAAGGATCCATACCGCTGCTCTCCTGCTAAGTCAGAGGTTTACAAAAGGGACAGAACAACTCCTAAGGGAATTTTAGAAAATTCTATGGGTGTATAGTTGTAACATTTAGAAGGAAGAGCCAAAGAAGCTAGGTGTCCTGCAATGCAAGAAATAGTTCCCTACAATGAAGACTTGTCTCATGTCATGACTTTCAAATGTCCTACCAGATAATCACATAGGATTAAAAACCTAACTCATTTTACAGATAAAAGTGTAATGGGGAAAGTGTTGTAATGCAGTTTTCATATACATAATTGTCAAGAAATACAACCATCACGTAAATTAAGGGAAAATTCTGCTTTTCCCCATGAGTTGATTATTTTGAAAAATTAGATAGCAATGAAGGACTATCTGAGATGTCAAAACTGCACAACTGTCTCACTCAGTATGAGGAGTCAGATTCATGTGATTTTTACACATAGGTGAGACACTCCCTACCTTGTATCCTTGCTTTATTTTCTCCATAGTCTCATCATCTATCAGTTTACCTTTTAATTATCCTCTTTATGAACTCCATTCTCCCACTAAAATGTGAGTTCCATGATTAAAGAAATTTTTGTCTTATTCACTACTATATCCCCAGCGCACTGTACTATACCCAGTGATGGACATATACAAAGGCTTAATAAATATTCATGGACTCAATCTGATTACTTCATACCTTCTACTGTGATCATGAACAAGTACTTCTAAATTGAAATACATACTAAAAAAATTCTCTAATTTGTCATACTACTAGTTAGAACAATATATTTTTTTTTTTTAACTGTGAGGCTAGGTTACATTGGTCATGCCAGCACAGTAAAGAGTGGATTTCAAAATACCTGCTATATATATAAAGGGGGCACTGGGTCTCACCGAGTGGAAAAGCACTGGCCTATATGAGCTCATTTCTAACTCACATCTCTCTTCTGAACACGATACTCACAAATCTAACTTCCTCGTGGACAACTCCAATTAACATCTCAGACCTAACACACCTAAACAGAAATTGATTCTCCACCTACTCAGTCAATCTCTACAAATCCTATGGAGCTTCAGAAAATTACCCCAAAGATTCCAGAAAGCTACGAGTCATCTTTTAGTTTCCCTTTCCCTGGCCCCCTACTCCAGTCAACCAACAAATCCTCTAGAGTCTATCTATCTTCAAGGTATATCTGGAATCTATCCACTTCTCTCCATTATCAAACCAACATCTTGGCCCCCACCTTTTCTTTTTTGAAGGATTATAGAATCTCCTAATTAGTTGCCTGCTTCAGCTCAGTCCATACTCCAGACAGAAAAAAAAAAAAATACTAATCTCAACAACCGCTTCCCATAGAATTTAGAGTAAAATCCATACTCCTAATCATGGCCTCTAAGATCCTGCATGATTGACTCCTTGACTAACTCTCCCACTTTATCTTACACCACATGCCAGCCACACCCGTCTTCCTTCCCTTCCTAATACACTCCCTGAGCAGCTGGCTCCTCCTCATCCAGCAGGTCTTCGATTGACACTTCCTCAGAAGTCTCCTGATTTCCCAACCTAAAGTAGATGTTCCCTGTTAATCTCTATTGTTTTCTTCCATGACACTCATCATAATTACCTATTTAATCATTTCTTTATTTTTTAATGTCTGTCTCTTCCACCAAAATATAAACTCCATAGAACTAGGAACCAAGTCTATTTTGTTCATTATCAGATATGCATCAGCTACACCAGAAACTAGCACTGGGCCTGTCGAATAGCACTCAATAACTATTTGCTGAAAGAAGGAATTAAAAGTCACTCTTGAATCCAAACCCTCCTTCACCATCAAAACCATTTATTACCAAGGCATGATGATTTTACCTAAGCAATGTCCCTCAAGGGGTGCCTGGGTGGCTCAATCAGTTAAGCATCTGCCTTCGCCTCAGGTCATGATCTCAGGGTCCTGGGATCGAGCCCCGCTTTGGGCTCCCTACTCAGCCAGAAGCCTGCTTCTCCCTCTCCCCTGCCCCTGCTCATGCTCTCTCTTGCTATCTTTCTCTCTCTCTCTCAAATAAATAAAATTTTAAGTAAGAAAAAAAAAGGGAAACGTCCAAGTCTTTCTCCTCTAATCGGTTCCCACAGACATTCTCAAAATGCACATATTGCGTGGATAATTTTACCACCTTCTTAACTGATCTCCCTGTCTCATCTCTCATCTGTCCAGTCCATCAATAACATTACCACACAAGTCATCCTATAAACAACCTAATAATAAACATCATCATATTTCATTTCTCCTTAAAAAGTTCTCTTTGCTTGCCCCTTATAAAATAAAGGAAAAATTATTCAGTACAGAAAATGAGATTTGGTACCAACCTGCCTTTCCAGCCTCATCCCCCATAACCTCCACTACCCACATATTCCCTTTTACTCCAGACATGTCTCAAACTAACATAGTTCCCTGAACATACCATGTATCCCATTCTGTGCCTTTGATGTTCCCTCTGCCTAGTAAAATCCTGATGTCCTTCAAGAGTCAGCTCAAACGTCATTTTCTTAGGAAAACTTCCTAAACCTTCAGAGACAGAATGAAGTTTCCATATTCTACAACACTCACCAACTTGTCTAGAGAGGCAATGTTAGCACAGTGGTTAAGAAAACAGACCACAAGTCTATTTACAAGGTTAAGAAACCTTGGGCAAATTATTTACTGTTCCTAGGCCTCAGTTAACTGTAATATGGTATAATAATATAATAGCAGGACTGTTATGAGGACTAAGAATTAAAAAGTAGTTAGCAGGGCACCTGTGTGGCTCAGTTGGTTGAGCGACTGCCTTCGGCTCAGGTCATGATCCTGGAGTCCCGGGATCAAGACCCCATCAGGCTCCCTGCTCGGCGGGGAGTCTGCCTCTCCCTCTGACCTTCCCCACTCTCATGTGCTCTCTCTCTCTCTCATTCTCTCTAATAAATAAATAAAATCTTTTAAAAAATAAATAAATAAAAATAAAATAAATAAAATAAAAAGTAGTTAGCAAAGACCTGGCAATAATGAGACTCAACACGTTAGCTATTAGTTATTAAACATACAGGTCAGTCTCTGAGCTACCTGAAAGCAAAGACTATGCCCTGGTAACCTGTGTATCCCCATTACCTAACATCTAGCCCAAGAACACACTCAGCATCTGTTTCTCAAGTGAAAATGAAGTTGGGAGTAAGAATGACCATGGCAATGTTTGGGGGGAAAAACTGCAGTTATTAAGTCAGAGAACCTTTAGGGAACATCAAGAATATTTTATATTGAGATAAAATCAGGCTGTATATTATCTTATAGCTGTCAACTCCAAGCATTACTAGCCCAAATGATTATTATTCTAATGCTCTGGCACATCAAGTCAATTTTTATTACAATTTTTACTTGGCTTCTTTCAGACTCTGGGTTATTACTTTCCGGGCCCTAGGCCTGGGCTAATTTGCATGAGTTTTAAACTAATCATCTGACTTAAAAAGCAATTTTGCAATTTAAATCCATGGCACTTAATTCGCTTCCTACCTCAAGGCACTAAATTACCCTAAAACAGCTCATCATACCTACCAGTCCATACAAGAGCAGAAAGCATTATGGTTGTGTTTTAAAACTTACACTGATGATTCAGAGAATGTTATGCTCAAGAGTGGATCGCCTCGCCTTGTACGTCTCCAAGTGCCCGTAACGAACTGTTATCTACCTTCTTAACGTGATCTGCATCACTTTGGCTTCAGAAGCCTCCTCTCCCTTAACAGAAGAACGACCTTGTGTGTGTATGTGTGTGTGTGTTTCGGTGGCTACGCGGACACGCCTCGGGATCTCCTCCTGACTGGCAGGTGGCCTATTATGAGTCCTGACATCAGGGTCACCCCCGCATGCAGAGCAGTAACTGCCTCCCCGCGCGGCGCGCTCCGCCACAGGCGCCCAGGAGCGGTGCACCCATCACATGGGCTGCAGTCTCGGCAGTCAGCCGTCAAGGCAGGACTTGGACAAGCACCGCACAAAGGACGGCAGTCGAAAGGAGAATGGGCTGAAGAGCTGGGGGCGAGGCGGGTAGGATCCTTCAAGGGCTTGGCACTCCCTGTGTTTTGAGGGGCAGGACCTTGCACCAACCTCCACGAAGGCATCAGTCAGGTCACTAGCTCGGTCCATCACTGGCAAATGGCGCCCGGCCACGATTTTCACCTTCAGCTTCCCAGGCATCTTCTCGGCTTCGGCCTCTCCTTGGGCTCCTGCAGAAACAAACAAGCGAGTCTGCGCCGAGCTCTTAGCCCGGCGGGGGAGGGGCGGGAGCGCGCGGGGAGCTGCGCGCGCCGCCGGGAGCGCGCGGGATAACTGACAGCGGAGGGCGCGCGAGAGCGCGCGCCATGCCGCCAATCTTCACTCACTCTCGGATGAATGAGGGGGCCGTCCCGCGCGGGCGCTGAGGCCTCATTCCGGAGAGGCAGTCGGAGGAGTGGCCCGGGTGGATTCTTCTACCCCGGTCCCACAGTGCTGGCAAGAGAAGCAAAAGCCAGTCAACATCCCGTGGAGGCTCTGCCACCCCTACTTGTGTTTTCCTCCCCCCAAAATGGCGGCTCTCAGGGCGTGGAGGAAACATCGATCGTTCGGCGCTCGGCCCACTTCGCAGGGGAGAAATTAAATTCACGGAGAGCAGATGGAGGGGGCGGGACGGACTTCGAGGAAGCCGGAGGGCAGGGAAATGGGTCGAGCCCTGCATCATCCACCGTGCCGGGGCTGTAGGTTGGTGCCCCGCTCTCTGAGAGCTGACTCCGTCCTTCGGGGGCGAATCACTCGTAGGGCTCAGTTCGGTGACTTCGCGGGTCGCCACCTTCCCAGCTACAAACACTGCATTTTCGAGGGGTGTGACAGAAAGCAGCGGCGGAGACTGCTAGAGGAGCGATTTCAGTCGGCCTTTAACCACCAGTTAGTGGTTTGTGGAATCAGTTTAGCTGGTTTCTACCTGGAAGGGATGCAGTTTTTGTTTCATATGCAGGAGAGTTGGAAATTTCAGGCACATCTCGGGTAGTCAGGTAAGTATTCTATAGCAACATTTTTTTATTCAGTCATATACACGTATACTGGGTTATAGATGTTACTGTTAGGTCTTGGGGAAAAACAAAACTTTGAAATCCAAAACCACTGGTTAAAGGAGTTTCCCCTGCACCCCTGGATTGGCTCAGTGTGTTTATTAAGCATCAACAACCCTAAGACCTACTTTGCTGGCAGAAGTTCATGACCTCCTACCCTATGAAATTTCTAGTCAACTGCAAGAAACGAAGATGAGCTTAATGAAACACCTTGAACAACCGACCCAATTATATATGTGAATGTACATGCAAAAACGAGGCAAAATCTATAGGCTCAACCCATCAGAAAAAAATTAGGGAAATTGAGGGACACGCATAGGATGTAACACAAGTCACCCTATACCAAATATCAACAGTACATGTCCTATCAAATAACAAAATCACCATTAACAATTCTGGTAGAGGGGCGCCTGGGTGGCTCAGTTGGTTGAATGACTGCCTTTGGCTCAGGTCATGATCCTGGAGTCCTGGAGTCCTGGATGGGCTCCCTGCTTGGCTGGAGTCTAATTCTCCCTCTGACCCTTCCCCCTCTCATGTGCGCTCTCTCTCTCTCATTCTGTCTCTCTCAAATAAATAAAATCTTTAAAAAAAAAAAAAATTCTAGTAGAAAGATTTTACCACTGGATTCATTAGGAATGGAAAATTCCCAAATGAAGATATTTTTTTTAAACTGATTCACCTTTTTTCTTTTTTTAAGATTTATTTATTTGAGAAAGAGAGAGCATGGGGGTGGGGGTGGGCAGAGGGAGAGAGAGAGAGAGAGAACCTAGAGCAGATTCTGTACTGAGCCAGAAGCCCTTTGTGGGGCTGGGTGTCAGATCCTGAGATCATGACGACCTGAAACCGAGTCGGATCCTTAACCCGCTGAGCCACCCAGGTGCCCCAAACTGATATACCTTTTTAACTTCAAAAATACTGATGGATCAGTGGATGGAGCAAGCGACTCTTGATCTTGAGGTTGTGAGTTCAAGCCCCACATTGGGTGTGGAGATTACTTAAAATTAAATATTAAAAAATAAAATACTGGGGCGCCTGGGTGGCTCAGTCCTTAAGTGTCTGTCTTCAGCTCAGGTCATGATCCCGGGGTCCTGGGATCAAGCCCCACATCTGGCTCCGTGCTCTGCCGAAAGCCTGCTTCTCCTCTCCCACTTCCCCTGCTTGTGTTCCCTCTCTCGCTGTGTCTCTCTGTCAAATAAATAAAATATTTTTTTAAAAAATACCGAATAGGTATTTAAAGAATTCTCTTTAAAAGGGCAAAATTTCCTTCCATAGAGGGAATATCGTTCACGTAAGTGAGAAGTTGAAATCTTCCAAAGAAAAGAAAAAGGCTTCCTCAAAATAAAAATCTAACATAAATCACTGACTTTTCAGACTAGAGAAAACTTCATTCACTCAAACAATAACAAAAGGCTAGAAGGCTACAGCTCACATACAGATTTCCTTAGATCCTACTGCAGCTTTTTGTGGAATCTACCCCTACTCTTTAAATGCCCTTACCATGGTGAGCAACATTATTTGATCAGTTAATTTTGGTGTATTTTGTTTTGGTGGTAGAGTTGAAATAGCTTCTTTTTTTTTTTTTTTTAAGATTTTATTTATTTATTTGAGAGAGAGAACACAGAGGGAGAGGGAGAAGCAAACTCCCTGTTGAGCAGGGAGACCAATGCGGGGCTTGATCCCAGGACCCTGAGATCATGACCTGAACCAAAGGCAGACGCTTAACCAACTGAGCCACCCAGCACCCCTGAAATAGCTTTTTTGCTGAAATCAAAGTATTACCACACTACCAATTCATTAAAAAAAAGAAGAAAAAATGCTGAGTATCAACAGTAGCCAAACTATGGAAAGAGCTCAAATGTCCATTGACTGATGAATGGATAAAGAAGACGTGGTGTATATATATATAATGGAATATTAGTCATCAAAAAGAATGAAATCTTGCAATGATGTGGATGGAGCTAGAGTATATTATACTAAGCGAAATAAATCAGTCAAAGAAAGACAAATACCATATGATTTCACGCATATGTGGAATTTAAGAAACAAAACAGATGAACAGATGGGCAGGGGGGAAAAGAAAAAACAGAGGGAAACAAACCATAGAGACTCTTAAAGACAGAACAAACAGGGTTGATGGAGGAAGGTGGGTGGGGGATGGGTTAAATGGGTGATGGGCATGAAGGAGGGCTCTTGTTATGATGAGCACTGGGTGTTGTATGTAAGTGATGAATCACTGAATTCTACTGAAACCAATAATGCACTGTATGTTAACTAACTAGAATTTAAATAAGAATTTGAAAAGAAAAATATTTAAAAGTACTGAAACATACGAAAAAAATTAGAAAACTGAAGTTTTGCAACAATCTTAATGGAAAACAATGCTTTGTATTATAAGATGTTGTAATGGAAAAATATATTTGCAAATTGCACAATTAGAGGTTAGCAATCTCAGCCTCCTAATTAGTATCCTGTAAGGTACTTGTACATACGTGTTGCCTTAGGCTTCATTAACAGGAGATTATAATTAAGATGCTTCCTGAAGACTTTTTTTTTAGTAGAATTAAGCCTGACTTCGGTTTGTTTTCTAATAATTGTACTAGTTTGTTTTAATTAATGCAGGGAACAGTGTTAACTTTCCTGACAAATCTATCATGATCTGGTTCCTAATGAGCTTCTGTAGCTACATACTTCACCACTCTTTTTGCATCTTAGATCCCGTAATAATACCATGTATTGAGTATTTGCTGTGTACCAGCTACTGAATTCAGTGCTTCGCAGCTTTTAAAGCTCCCTAAAATCCCATACAATAGGAATTATCAGCCTTCATTCTATAGGTGATGAATTTGAAGCTTTGCAATGTTTACTCGATGATGACCCAAAGGAGCTAGTAATGTTGGAGGCAGGATTTATATCTAGACAATTTGATTCCAAGAACTCCTCTTTAAAGGCTTTGTGTAGTTTCCTATAAACTATGTTTTTTTCTTTTTCTCATAGTATTCCTAGCAAACACTTAAGAATTCATAACTCGGGCGCCTGGGTGGCTCAGTTGCTTAAGCGACTGCCTTCGGCTCAGGTCATGATCCTGGAGTCCTGGGATCGAGTC